CCTGAACTCATCAAAGCTTGGAAGCTAAGCAGGGACGACCATGCTTAGTACTTAGATGGGAGATCATCACGGAAGACCAGCGTTTCTATCCAGAGGCGGGCACCTCTTCTCCTCTTGCCTTGAAAACACAATGAGGTGTTGTCGTGGGTCAGTTGGGGTTTAACAGCACTTTATTATTATTATTTTAGAAGAAATGGGATATTACCCCAGAAGTATGGGGTGGTATGGGGAGTATGGGGAGGATAAATATACTTTCGCCATTCTTTTTGTTGTTGTTGTTGTTCAGTCGCACAGTCGAGTCCGACTCTTTGCGACCCCATGGACCAGATCACGCCAGGCCTTCCGGTCTTCCGCCGTCCTCTGAAGTTTGCTCAATTTCATGTTTGTTGCATCTATGACACTGTCTTAACCATCTCATCCTTTGCCGTCCCCGTCTGCTTTGACCTTCAATCTTTCCCAGCATCAGGGTCTTCTCCAGTGAGTGCTCCCTTCTCATTTGGTGGCCAAAGTATTTGAGCTTCAGTTTCATTATCTGGCCTTCCAGGGAACAGTCAGGGTTGATTTCTTTTAGGATTGACTGATTTGATCTCCTTGCAGTCCAAGGAACTCTCAAGAGTCATCGCCTGCACCATAATTCGAAAGCATCTATTCTTCGGTGCTCGGCCTTCCTTATAGTCCAACTCTCGCAGCCATACATGACTACTGGGAATACCATTGCTTGGACCATGCGTATTTTTGTTGGCAGGGTGATGTCTCTACTTTTTATCATGCTGTTATCATGGGTAGTGAAGGGCGAGGTATAAATCCAATCTCTTCTTCTCTTCTTCTTCTAATACACTTTGGGTCTCCATTGGAGAGAAAGGTGGGGTATGAATAAATAAAATAAACTGGCTCCACAATTATGAAAATGCACAGACATGTGGAACCACCATCCCCAAATTGATTCCAGCGCTTGTGGATTGACTCCTAAGAAAATCAGGAGTAAGGCAAGCATGTAGAAAAGCCCAGTGTGAACAGGCACAGATGAACACACGACCTTATGTGCATCCACCCTGTTAATGGGGCCCGTTCACCACAAACAAATTGACAATGTTCCTTGCAGGACAGCAAGAATTTCCACGTAGCTGGGGTGGGGTGCGGGGTGTTGTCCTCTCAATAGGCAGGTCTGTGAGTTTGGTTGGTCTTTCCTAGTCCTGTGTTTTACTTGAGAAGCCGCACTGTGAAACGCATTGAGTCAGATCCCTCAAGGCAAAAGGAAGCTATTATGAAGGAAAAAACACACCATAAGTCTTCAATCAGAATTTTAAAAAGACTAAGTTTCTAGAGGAGAAATGGTGTGGAAAGTTAACAAGATCTTGGCTGGTGACCGGAATTACGCCATTTGAGGGGGAAACTCTTTGTTTCCCCCTCAAATGGCGTGGCCCCGCCCCCAGCGTGCGACGTCACTTCCGGGCGACGCGCACTTCCGGGTGACGTGCACGCTCCCAGCCAAAAAACATTTGGCAACCCTACAAACAGGGCCTCAAAAAAGCAAAGTCCTCGATGGTTCTCAAGTTCCTGTGCTTGAGGGCCATTTTCCAGGGAGCTTCTTTTAGAACAACCAATTGGCACTGAGACATAAGACCAGGGCTTCTTTTTGTAGAAAAAGCCCAGCAGGAACTCATTAGCATAATAGGCCACACCCAACAGCAGAAACTCACTAGCATATTAAGCCACGCCCCTGACATCACAGCTCATTAGCATATTAGACCACACCCCATGTTACCACAATCACCTTTTGCTTCTTATTCTGTTTACTCTGCTTGTTGTCAAAACCCTGGGCTTTTTTTGTAGCAGGAACTTCTTTGCATGTTAGACCACACACCCCTAATGTAGCCAATCCTAATGAGTTTCTGCTGTTAGGTGTGGCCTATTATGCTAATGAATTCCTGGTGGGCATGGCCAACTCAGGAGCCAGACGGAACTCCATTCCTGTGTGTTCCTGCCCAAAAATAGCCCTGCATAAGACACAGAGAAACAGATTCTAGGAGCAAAGGCTTGGCGAAGCACAAAATGCAAAGGAGCTAATAGAAAGTGGAGGCTTAAACACCATCGTATACATAACATTTCTCTACAAGTTGATCCTGCCCTAAACTTAGGGCCAAACCAGGTGTGAAGCTGGGAACCCTGTGAGTAGAGTTCGCAGTAGCCCTGCTCACATATTACAGTGAACACACGTACATCCTGCCCGTAGGTGCATACATCTAATTGTAAAGAAAAGCAAACGCACATTAACTTTGCAAATGAACCAAGGACTAAGATCTGGGTTAATGTGGGGTTTATGTCACATGCCTTGAATGTATCACGAGAATTAGTCAACACACATACAAAGAGCAGCCACATGTACACTGTACACCAGAGGTTCCCAAACTTAATTTGGCCTACCACCGGCTTTTCAGAAAAAAAATTACTCAGCGGCCCCCTGGAAATCTACCTTCAAGAAGTGGACAAAAATATGCAGTTTGTGGGTCTGCACCTGGATCGTTCCAGCCCACCTGGATCGCTTCAGCACCCCTGAGGGGGGCGGTACTGCCCACTTTGGGAACCAGTGCTGTACACAGATTGTGTTCACTGTAACTTGTAAACAGGGGCTAGTATGTTGTTTAAAAACAGGAGTGAGGAGGAGGAGGAGGAGATTGTCACTTCCCTCCAGTCATTTCCCTGACCTGAAATATCTGCGTTTCAAGTCGCAAGGGGGGAAACATACCGGTACTGATAAAAATAGCTTCACCGGGCAGTTTTAGGTTAGGAAAATGGAGCAGAGAAAGGCTGACATGACTTCTTCTCTTGTCCCATGGTCCCAATTGGGACTACCTTTCTCTATGCACCTGTTTTTAAAGAAGTGGGGGGGAGCTTCATTTACAGCACTCATGTCAAGTTTGGTTCTTAGAGTTTCCTCCCACTTGGTTTGTTGAGCTGCCCACCAAACAAACTCCTGTGTCCATCGTCAGTTCGTTCCTGTTGCCAGTAATTCCTAAATACCTAAGCGTGGGCCAGGAGGACGGGCTCACACTCTGGGCAATTTGGGTTCATGCTGATCAAGGAGATAGTTGCTGGCTTGGTCAGAGAAAGCGATCTCGCTTGATAGCTTGAGCAATGAATCACTGGGTCACCCATGCTACCCCTGTTTGAGAAAGAGGATATTTAAGCTTCTGACCCAGACTTCGGCAGCCGCCATATACCGAGCATATGGAGCAGAGGTCCATCAGTGGCTATTAGACACAAGGTATAGATAGGGACTCTGGGGCAAGTGATGCTCTGTCATCTTGGTGCTTGGGGGGGGTCAACAGTGGGAGGGCTCCTAATGTCCTGGCCCCACTGGTGGACCTCCTGATGGCACTGGTATTTCTGGCCACTGTGTGATACAGAGTGTTGGACTGGATGGGCCTTTGGCCTGATCCAACATTAGCATCTCTTATGTTCTTATGTTCTTATGAGTCAGATCATTGGTCTTTCAGGGTCAGAATTGTCACCTCTAACTGGTATCAGCTCTCTGGGATCTCAGACAGAGTTCTTTCACATCACCTATTACTGGGAGATGCCGAGGATTGAACCTGGGACCTTCTGCTTGCCAAGCAGATGCTCTTGTTTGCAGTCGGGCCACACTCCTTTTATAGTATTTTGTGCCAGTAGTGAAAAGGAAAAAAAATGGAGCCATAAGATTTGAGTAAACAGAGAGATATTTCCTATTCCAGCCTTAGCTAGATAACTGTATAAGTGCATTTCATGGCAGGGTATTAGGATGCATTTAGTCACGCAAGAGTTGTGCTCTATTCTGACTATTCTTCCTCGTAGCTATTGTTCATACTTCAGTGAACATCTGCATATACTTGGGGATCATCTTGTAACCCCAGTACTTACTGGTACAAAGCAGAGTCCTGAGCGAAGGTTCAGAGGCGAATGAACCTTTAGATGAAACAGAATAGCTATACAGAGCAAGGCAGGGACATGGTTGAATTATGAACAGCTCCACAGTGGACAGTTATGTAGGAGTTGTGCACCGTGAGCGAAAGTCCTTACAGTGCTTCCTGCGCTGCAGTTATTGAAGTGTCTACAGGGAAGCGGCCTGAGTAGCTACTTTGGTGTTAAACAGGCAATTTGTGATGAAGTGCTGCAGTTCATTGTGGTGTGAAGTCTGTGATACTGATCCTGCTCATTCTTCACCATGCTGACCGAGGCATCTGCACTGAGCCAGCTAATCTGCCTGGCGTCTGCAAATCAGGTGTCAAGAAAAGTGGGATGGAATGAGAACAAGTTACTCTACAGTGTGGTCCTAAGCAGAGTGACACCCTTCCAAGCCCATGAGGTTCAGTGGGAAGGTAGTTCTCATTAGGATGGCACTGCTAGTCCCCTAAATCTGATTTGTGCATTGCAGACTTAAGATTCCCCCTCTAACTCAAAACTGGCAGCTATTGCCTTGTCACAGAGAATGCAGAAAATGGACTGTATGCTCAGCTGTGAAGCATTTTGAAACGGCAGCATGAAAGGCAGAGTGACTGCGTTTGATGCACTGCAGATGTCTGTAACGGGAGGGACGGATTACGTTCCCCTCACTGCATTCCTGAATGCTGAATTGGAAGAAAAAACAGCTTTTGCTCTGTTTGTCTGGACCTGCAAGTATGGTAAAGAACTAAAACTTGCCCTTTGGGGCCTGATTTTTCACTGAGGTGGCCACTTCAGACTGCTTGGAGAAGAGTCCCTTTCCCTGACATGCCAGTTTTTGTACGTGCAGAGAATTGTGCACACCCAAATTGCCGAGTGTAAAGAAGCCCCCTGCTGTGGTGGGAGGGGGGGTACAGCCCTGGCAGAAGGTTACTGCCTTAGTGAGACACAAATCAAAGTGTTAATTGGACAAAATGGCACCCACCAACACCTTTCCTGGGCACATACTAAGTATTTTCAGGAAGTGGGCAGGGCCAGATTGGGCTTTTGCCCAGCAAAGTTTTTCCTTGGCTATGCAGATTTTTAAAATGCTGCTTTGGCGGCAGCCGCCACCACAGAACAAGAATCTTCACGGCATGACTGAAGGTAAGTTGTGTGTATGCAAGAAAATATGTTCCTTTTAAAAGGCATCCTGTTAAACATAGCTTCCGCTTGACATGTTGAAGAGTTACGGTTAGAGTTATACATAGCCTCACTCCCTGACATTTTAGTGGGTGGCTTCCTCCTGTGGCAGTCATTTGGTGGTTGTGCCCACTACCCTGTGTCAGAATTCCAAAAGTTTTTGGCAAAACATCAAAGGAGTTTTCTGCTAAACATTAGCAGAACTTCCTGACAGTTAGAGCGGTTCCTCAGTGGAACAGGCTTCCTTGGGAGGTGGTGGGCTCTCCTTCTTTGGAGGTTTTCAAACAGAGGCTAGTTGGCCATCTGACAGCAAGACTGATTCTGTGAACTTAGGCAGATCATGAGAGGGAGGGCAGGAAGGGTTGCGTCAGTGCTTAGTGCTTGTGGTCCTTTTCTTACACACCCAGGGAAATGCTGGTTAATACTTTAGGGTCAGGATGGAAGCAGTTTTTCTCCAGGCAGTTTGGCTGGGGATCCTGGAGGTTTTTTGTCATCTCGGCAAGGAACAGGGGTCACTGGGGGTGTGATGGAAGGTATTTGTGAATATCCTGCATTGTGTAGAGGGTTGGACTAGATGATCCTAGAGGTCCATTCCAACTCTATGATTCTAAGTGCCCACAGGCTCAAAAGGGTTGGGGACATCTAATGCATGATACATTTGAAAAAGAAACCTAGTACAAATAGTTCTGCAGAAGGGGGCCAGAAACAGATATCTCTGAATCCCAGAGTAACTTGCTTTACCCACCTTTAAATTAAAATTACTGCCATATCTTTCCATTCTGACTAAACATTAAATTATGAACTGCCATACAAATGTGGGGTGGGGGGGAGTGTAAAGCCTACAGCAATTAATAATTAAGAGCATTAAAGAGGTATGGTCCTTTTTGGTGGTTAATTAAAAAGAGACAGAGGATGGTGATATTGAAACCTGCCTTGAAGGCACACATTTTCTAACCTAAATTACTTCCTTGCTAATGCCAAAAGTGTGGGGTAAGCTGGAGTTATTCAGCAGGGATGAGAGGAACACACTCTTCATATGTTACAGAGTGCCGTGCCACTGAACAACAACAACAAAAAGAAATCTGGGCTGGGAAATGCATCTGTGAAAGCCTTTTCCTAAGAAGATGAAGGCAATGTATAGTGGGAGGGCATGCCCCCCCCTCCCTGTGCAAGTACTATTGTCTATGCCAGGGGTGGCCAAACTTGTTTAACGTAAGAACCACATGAAATAAACGTCAGATGTTTGAGAGCCGCAAGACATGAACAAATATTGCAGGCATGTTTTTATTGAAAAAATATGAAAATTTGCTTTTTAATTAACATTAAATGAAACTGCCAAAAATAAAAACAAAAGGAGTAAAAACGGATATTGATAATGATATTTATTTGTCCAATGATATTTGTCTAAGAGGTGGAAAGAAAGCAAATGGATGGGGGAGGGAGGGGGGAAGGGGAAAACAGAGAGAGAGAGAGAGGTGGAAAGAAAGCAAACAAATGGGGAGGGAAGGACGAAGGGTGAGCTGGAAAGAAAGCAACTTTAATTTGTAATGTCTTCTCCAACCCCTCCATGCCTTCTCCAAGCTGTGGGGGTGGGCTTTGAGAATGCATTTAAAGTTAAAGTTGCTTTCTTTCTCTGCTCCCCTCCACCTCAAGCCTACCCAGGGAGGGAAACACTGGCTGGGGAAGGGAAGACCAATCCAGGAAGCATGCCTCCCCTTCACTTCCCCAGCCACCATGCCGGGAGCTGCACAATATGTGTGAAAGAGCCACATGCGGCTCCTGAGCCACAGTTTGGCCACCCCTGGTATATGCTTTGTTACCTGTGAATTGTTCTTGAGTTGCTAAACTAACTTTAATATTAAGGCAAATATAAGCCCCCCCAAAAATCATGTTGGATTCTAAGGTGCTACTGGACTCAAATCTGGCCGTTCTGCCTTTGAAACTTGAACATTAAAGTGGAAATCTGTTTTGAAAGGGAGTCAAGTTCAGATCCCTGAATCCAGAGCGGTGGGGATGGGCGCCATGAGGCGGCCAGTGCGGTAATGCAACAAATTACAGCACAGACAACTTGACTTATTTTATATTAAAAGAAAATGGTTATACTCACCTGTTTCCCCTGTTAGTGTGATGTATACTTTACCTTTTTAACAGATAGCTTAAAGAGGAATTCCATCAGTCAATGGCTGTCTCTTATTGTTTGCAGTCCCTGGTGTTCATAGAAAACAATTGCAGTCTTTCTGTGATCGTTTTTTAAGTGCAGTAAATACTTTTATGATGGGCACGTTGTGACAAACAGTGCCATCCTAAGCAAAATTACACCATTCTAAGCTCATTAAAGTTAACATGCCTAGAAAGGTGTAACTCTTCCTAGGATCTAACATATTACTGGCAACTTTCCCATCAGTCAATGGCTGTCTCTTATTGTTGGCAGTCCCTGGTGTTCATAGAAAGCCATTGCAGTCTTTCTGTGATTGTTTTAAGTGCAGTAAATACTTGTATGATAGGCATGTTGTGACAAACAGTGCCAGCCTAAGCAAAATTACCCCGTTCTAAGCTCATTAAAGTTAACGTGCCTAGAAAGGTGTAACTCTTCCTAGGTTCTTACATATTACTGGCAACTTTCCTAGGGCTTTCCCTCCCCTAAAATCTAGTCGTCTCGCCCCCAAAACCCCCCCCCCCGCACTTCAGTTTCTCAGTGCCAGGATGAGTGTGATTGAAAGATCAAGAGGCGTGTGATTGAAAACAACATTACGGCTCCCTGAAATTACTCTGATCATCGACCTCTGCACGGTGTTCTCTGGGGATGGTGTTTCCTACTCATTCTCCCACCCCACCCCCTTTTAGCTGCCCCGTGATGATTAAATATCACTGTTCCACAGCTTTATAATATAAGCTCCTAGGAGACTCCTCCTAGTCGTTCCCAGCATAATTTCTTATACTCATTTAAAAAGAAAAAGGAAAAAGAACAAACAGAGCCCCATCTTGTTGCTTTAGGGCTGTGTCCCAGAAGTGAAATACTGGTGCAGATTAATCCATGGTGACAGTCGAATCCTAATGCCTTCCACCACCACCCGACAATTCTCAGCTTAGTAATTACATTTCATGGTTTCCCTTTAAGGACAGCATTTTAAACAATCACTCCACTTAGCATTTTAAACAATCTGAGACATACGAAGCCTCTGCAGAAGAAGAATTATTTTTTAAAAATCACATATTTTTAAAAAAGTGGTAGAAACTTGGTGTTAATTTTTCCTGCCGTGCTATACATTCTGTTTCCATATCCTTGTTCACTGTTTAGAATATTTCATGTCGCATACTACTGCCTACCCTGTGGATGAAATCAGAATTACCATTCAGTTTATTCTGGGTGGTTTTTATGGAAACTTGCTTACCTGTTTTTGTATTTTTATATATTATATTACTGAAGAATGGCACGAAACACAGAGAAATAGTTTGTCCATACTGTGAGACTAACAGTACCCATCCTAAGCAGAGTTACACCCTTCTCGGCCCATAAAATAGGTTTATTCATTGTGTAAGCATGCAAGAGAGAGAGACACACACACAGGTCAACAGATAAATATATCCAGGCATACACAAACATCCTGACCCAGTTAAAGAGATCTGTGCATGTACATAGGCTTCCCCATGTGTAGCACTTACTGGATCCAAAACCTAGATCATAAATCAGACATGTATTCCAATATACATGTGCATGACTCTTCACGTTCTAGCCCAACTAGCAATCTTGTGTAGCATTATTCCAATCTAACACTGTTCCATGTCCACAGATTGAGAGCAGATAGAACTTGATCCTCACAGTGAAATGGACAGGCCATCTGTTCAGATATAGATAGGTGTCCTGTCTTATCTATTCCAGCATTCTGTTTCCAACTGTGGACAGCAAAATTCCCCACAATCTGAGTGTGCGTAATGTTTAAGTATATGCTAATGGTTAAACATAAACAGACATACCATTTGCTCAAATTATTTGTATAATCAGAAATGTATACAATAGAGTATCCAATATTATACAAGAGCATCATTTTGTAAGGTTTATATCTGTAAGAGGCTGCATAACAGATGAATTCAGAGAATGAGAAGTCTTAGAAAAATTAATATAGCTGTGCATTACTGTGCATATTACTATGTATAATACCATAGAATACTCTCTGAATTAGGCTAGAAATAATGTTAAAATACTAACTATTGTTTAGATAGCAGTTGTCTCCTTTATGCCAGAATTTTTAAATACCCAAAGAGTACAGCCCTGTTCTCTATAAAAGGCACACAGAGATATCACTGTAACAGTTCGGGGACTTTTTAGCTACCGAGAAATTTATTTATTTTTTAAAAATTATTTGTTAATTATCAAGTTTACAAAAAAAGAGCAATCCAAAAGTAAAACTATTATAACATTATGGACCGGTAGATAGTCCCAGAAAACCTAGGCTAAACCCAACTTTTCATGCAATTTTAATAAACTCACATAGCAACTTGTATTGACATAGGTTTATAATAACATTACAATTTTAACCAGATTCTATAATCATTTCTAAACGGAAGAACTTCATTCTGTCTCAGAAACCCAATAACTGGTTTCCAGATTTCATCATAATCACAGGGTGAAAAAGACAATTGGGAACCAACAAAGAAAAAAAACCTGTTTTCCCCATGATATAAACATCCTAAAGTTTGTCAGACTAGGAGATGTTTATTGTTTTAAACATTCCTTATTTTTCAACAAATTCCAAGGTTTTGAAATACTCTTCCCTAGACCTAGGTTGTCTCTCCTTGTTGACTTTTTTTGATCCTCACAGTGGAGCCGTACTTGAGAGCAGTGTTCCCTCTAAGCTGAGTTAGTGTGAGTTAGCTCACAGTTTTTTAGCCTCCAGCTCACACATTTCTGTCTTAGCTCAGGAAGGAGGGCTCCAGAGCAAACTAATTTATGCAGTAGCCAAATTGCTTGCTCACAACTTTAATGCCAGTAGCTCACAAAATAGAATTTTTGCTCACAAGACTCCACCGCTTAGAGGGAACATTGCTTGAGAGTCAAATATATGACATTCAAACATATTCATGAATAGTAGTTAGCAGTGTTCCCTCTAAGCTGAGTTAGTGTGAGCTAGCTCACAGTTTTTTAGCCTCCAGCTCACACATTTTTTTACTTAGCTCAGGAAGGAGGGCTCCAGAGCAAACTAATTTATGCAGTAGCCAACTTGCTCGCTCACAACTTTAATGCCAGTCGCTCACAAAGTAGAATTTTTGCTCACAGGACTCCACAGCTTAGAGGGAACATTGGTAGTTAGTTGTAAAGGTAAAGGTTCCCTTGCTCGAAAGCCAGTCGAGTCCGACTCTAGGGTTGCGGTGCTCATCTCCATTTCAAAGCCGAAGAGCCAGCACTGTCCGAAGACGTTTCCGTGGTCATGTGGCCGGCATGACTAAACACCAAGATGCACGGAACGCTGTTACCTTCCCACCGAAGTGGTACCTATTTATCTCCTTGCAATTTCTTGCTTTCGAACTGCTAGGTTGGCAGGAGCTGGAACTAGAGATGGGAGCTCACTCCGTCATGCGGCACCCCTGGGTCTCGAACTGCTGAACTACTGACCTTCCACAGCCTGCAGT